CTACCATCGGCTCGGTCTTCCCTCATTTTTAAATCTCGACTGTACCCACAATAATCATAAAAAAAAACACCATACACTCCATTCTTCTTTCAGTATTGGCTGTTGAAATGTCGCGTTTGCGTACTCCTTGCAAATGTCACTGAAGAGTGGTAACCTTGCTATTCTCTTGTCATATCTTTTCATCGTACTCCTTCATTTGAGGAGCAGATATTACGAAGAAATTTGCTTTCGAAGGATGCAATATGATTGCATTGTGCTTAAATGCAAATTTACTTATCGCACAACAGAATACGAAATTGCCTAAAAACTTCATTTATTCATTTTATCGGCTCCCATGGTCATGTCATGCTACAGGGGATAAGTTACTAGAAGTGAGTAGGTTTCGAGAACATTGCCCAAATTTTCAGAAGTTCCGCCTTCTCTGTACCAAATATGAATTAATGAAGGTCCTAGACAGAGATTGAGTGTCACGAACATAGAAGATGTTTGATTCAGAGGGTGGAAAATAACGTTGTCTGGTGTCAGGGGATTCATCAATATCAACTTCATCAACTTCAACTTGAACCATGCTGGGAGTGCAGATGAAACCTGGGAGAGGTCAACAGTGGGACTTTGGAAAGCAAAGCATGGCGAGGCTAATAAAATGGTGCTGATTTGCAGAAAAATCAAATGGCCTCCATTTGTAGAGGCTTGGCAGACTGGCAAGGCGGAGGAGGAACTGTTTAGGCGGAGTCGGAGGAGTGAAATGGGTAGAACGGTATAAAATGGGATGGTGAGAGGGGGACGGGCCAAGATTAAGGTGAGGTGGGAGTAGTGGGCATTTTGGAGGACGGGCTAAAATGTAGGTGACACAAGAAGCGCTATCGGTTTCTCTGTCGGCTTTGATATGTACTTCTTTTAGCCGGGAAAGATGGACATGCCGGGCGAGGGAAACTGGAAAAATGGGTTTCAGGGCTCAAGCAAATACGTCCTGCATACGCTCATGTGCATTGCAAAGCGTTGCAGCACACTCGATTTTATGGCCATTTTAGAGGTCATTATGACAGACCCCTCCTCTCGCCCTTCTCCCCTAAATCCCTCGTCTTCTGCCCAATCCTCCCCTCCAATCCCATCGCCCTCCCCACAACACTGCTCCTTGCCCATGCACACATGCACACACCGTCGGTCCGAGGCGCAGGCAAGCGCGGCCAACCGGCGTGCGCAGACCATCGAGGACACCTCCAAACGTACATTCGTACATGTCCGCCCGTCTGAGAAGGAAGAGGTGGGGCTCTGGGCCTCGCGATGCCTCGCCCTGTTACACACGAGACCGATCCAGCATAACAATAAACGCGGCTTCGATTTGGGCGAATACACACCGCTAACCCATTGGCAAGGGGGATCCGGTAGCCAGGCCGTCCGGCCGACAAGTACACACGGCCCAATGCCCATACCGATGGCCAGCTTTTTACCCTCGGTCCGGGTTTCACACGAGTCTGGACTAGCGTACGCAGACACAGATGCCAAAATGGACTGCCGAAAAAGACGCGCGTCTTGTTAACCAAAGCGCTGCTTCTGAGTCTCTCGGCCTGACCACCTTTGGCTGTACGTATTATCACGTAACTGGGCCTCTCTCCTGTCAAACGGTGGCATCGAGAAATGCCCCATCATGTTGGCTCGTCCGTTGCTCAGACCTCCTCCCCTATCCGGCTATGGCTCAGCCGCTGAAACTCACACACACATACATACACACACAAATATATATATATATATTTATTTTTATACATGTATATATCTAATTGTATGAATGCATATACGATCTGCAAAGACTGATATCCCCGGCAGCACCAAAGACTCAACGAGAAGCAGATTAGTGCACTTTCGAGGAAATTGTCTTTTAGGCGAAAACAATTGCCCATTGTCTTTCCGTCAGTTCAGTCTCACTCTCTGCTGTAGCAACTGAGAGAAAGAGGGCGTGTGAACGCAGGCCTGTGGAGTTCACTGGGCCGGTATGAAATGCATGCACGGCCGGAATGAAGGGGCAGGCCGAGTGAACTGAGACCGGCATTGTGGGCCAAACGTGGATAAGTAAAAACGATAAGATGAGGCTGAGAGAAAACCTGGGAAAAGGTCTTTAAATTTGGAGCGGCCGGTCGCTACACGAGGAGAGAGGGGCAGAACTATTAGATAGATAATATCATCTTTCTATTGGAACGGTTATAATGATGCATTTTGCTGAATTATACCCTCGGCTATGGCAACAGGAGAGAGGGCTGAGGAGTCAAGCTGACATGGTGACGGCTGGTGCAAGACACTTGGGCTTTATTACTGAAGCGGGGGTGGTTGGAATTATAAAAGAAGGTACAATACGATGCAACAGAAGAGTGGTGTTTAAGATGCTGGACGGGCGGTCACTTCGCATAGGAGCATATCCAAAAGACACTTTTTATTCATTCGATTTCTGATGGCGCTGCCAAAATTGCAATGGGGCCATATTTGAAGGCTCGAAAGAGATGGCCAAATCTGAAACCAGGCCTTCTAGTCTGGACCCAGTGGAAGAGACGTAGAAGTGTGTGCATTCGTGTGCGTGTAGGGTTGGGGTTTACTGATGTTGATGTTGATCAAACACTTTGCGGGTGTTTTTGTAGAGTCGACTATGCCCAACTTAATCTTTCAGTTGGTTTTAGCTCTCCTCATTTCCCGAATATGGAGAGAGGTTTTCAATAATAATTATGCCACCGCTCGGTTTCGCTCTTCCACATTCAGACGCAATTATTATGACCCAATTGAGGTGAACTTGGTCGCAGTTCTCCTTCATTGTGTACAATTTGTGACTTGGTAGTGTTTATAGGGAGATCTCGATGAGCTCATCACTAACTTGATCGTCTGCCAGGGTTGTCATGTGACCGCTGAAGAATTGCATTCCTTGCAGTTTCATAGAAATAGATTAGGATGACTCTGTCGGTTGACGAGGCCCACCACGAATTGGGCAAGATGTCTGAGAGGGTAGCTTTTATACGTCACGACGATGGAGGAGGGCATGACACCAATGACTGTAGACGATGTGGCAGGGGCTAAGTTCTCAGAAATTGCCCAAGTTGATGACACGAATTCGAGTCGAGTCCCTGTTCACGAAGAATTGGTGCAAAGGTTTAGTATTCTGTTTGCTTTTATTGTACACTGCTACATCGTCAAGAGTGAACTGTGATTATTATTCCGTCTGGTCTTCTCAGAGTATCGGTGAGGAGTCGAACCCCGATCATTCGAGATGCATGATGTACGCACGTTACTAGAGGCTGAAATTCCATAGCGCCAAGGCATTACCGGATAAGCATAACAATTTAGGGAGTGAAGCAACCTATTCGTAGCTTCGGGGTGGAGAAAGATAGATTTACCATCTAATTTAAGAATTTCATGTCACCCTGTAACTTAGGCTGAATCCATCAAATTTTAGCTTAAAAAGAATGGATAACATTTGAGGATATGGGGCAGAGATAGGAAAAGAAAATCTGCCCGTGGTGTATGGTAAATGCTTTTTTTATATGGAAGCCCACTGATCTATGATTCACAAAGGGCACTTTATCCTAGGGAAGAATGCATAGGTCGCCTCTTCAATTCATCATGTACAGATCAATCATCAATGCCCTTACAGCAACTGATAAGCGTCAGAAATAAACGAAATTAATTTATGAACCTAATTATATTAATATGCACTAAATTTGCCTACATAAAAAGGAATTCGCATTTAAAGGTATGAAGACCAAGATTGTGTGGCCTTTTGTATGGTCGCAGTCTCCTTTCGTTGTATAGAAGTTGTTTGGCCTTGTTTTTGCAATTCGGTCATATTGGTAGGAAGACTTAGAGGAACGCACCTTGTCCGGAGTCCATTGTATGCATCATCATATCAAGAATATGACTGTGGACGTGGTACATTTCCAGACGTTTCGCCCGCATCGTTAGTGAGTTTTGCCATTCGTAGCACCATACAACGACTCGTCAAAGAGACAAGTGAAGCCCATCCTTTGAGAAAACGTGTGTTAAACAGTTGTGGTATCTCCCCTACTGCCCTGGCCTACTCACATTTCCTATATCCTCTTATCACACCTTCACTGTCACAATTTTTGCCGTACTTATTTTTAATGTAGTGTGGTGTGCTCCTTCGAGCGGCATTCATGAAAACCCTTCACACTCCACACTGTCGTTATCGCCTTCTTCACCCTTGTGCTGGGAATGTTGACCAGAGTCTGTCATATTGTTACGTAGTCCTTCCCTGGGTCCTATCAATCTCCCTCTTGCCCCGTAGAATCCGTCTGCTATCTCCCTGGTACATGTATTTCACCCGACCCCTGCCCCCCCCATTTGTGCTACTCGAGGCGTAATTCGTCCATCTTCTGCACCTGAGTGAGTAATTAGAGGATACAGCTTCAGAGTAAGTCTCATGGTACCACGTCTCTTGTAAAACCTACTGTCAGCCAACTAGCTCCAATCGCCGCTTCCTCTATCCTGTCTCTATCCCTAATACCAAGTCTATGACTTGCCATGTCCTAGTTGCTTGTGTACCAACCCACAAATGTTGTGGTACTGCTGGCTTTGATTAGATTCAATGTTGAACCACAACGTTTCTGGGTTGGCACACAATTCGTATTTTTCCACATTATGCCGCATGTGGAACTGAATAGTGGCTAAACATAAAGTAAAGATTCAACTAAATCCTCCATTATCATGAATGAAAAATAGCTGGTGTGACTAGAATTTTTGTTTCTAAGGGAAGGATGTTTGATTAGAATTCGCTAATTGATAGTCTTTGAATTGAAGTGTAGGATTGTGCAAACAAATTCTCGATTAACCGCGATGAACCCGTGCCGAGCTTTCGCCTGTCAGGTGATTAATACTGTCCGATTGAAAAACCATACTATGCGGAAAATCTCGCCAATATAATAAATCAGTCGAAAAGGTAGCCGGTCGCAAGCATAATCCCTTTATATACCTAATTTTTCTGTTAGCACGAGTGCATTGGTGCCGCATGGCGATTAGTGAGGACTTAGTCACACAATCCGACTAACTTAACTCTAAGCAAATCCGTGTTCGGCTTCTAAGCAGACAAATTCATAACTTCCTTCCAATTGACTTTTCCTTCTAATTGAAAATTGGAGTCACATTTTTAGTCGGCACATGTAATTTTTTAGGTTGCCTGAGGTGATTTAAATACCAATAGTTTAACTTTTCCACAAGCATTTAAATTTACTTAGCCTTGCTGCTCAAAAGGTATCCGCAACCAGCCTAGACAAAAGTCTCGAAATCATCAAGGGCTAGTCAGAATCGAGAGTAACCTTGCGACATTGCACAGCCAATGATACCAGTTTGTCACAAAGCAAACATCATTATAATCATATGTGTGAGGTGTATTAAGCCTATTTCGTTAAGATGATGAAGAATTGGTAATTGAATTTTCCCGAATGATATATGTAGACCTTATATTTACATCAAATTGTACATAGTCCTGCTTCCCAAAAGGTGTTCTCATCCACGATGGACGGCACTCGACTTCGTCTAGGTCTCATAAACACTGACAGCGAGACTCGAACCGTGCTAGTGCAGCGTATGATCTCGAAACGTTAACCTGCACGTCTCGTTAACACAAGTGCCCTAGATAGCCTACTTATAAATGAAAAATAAGTAAGGTAATAGATTTATAAAGCAAATTCAACTTTACTTCATCGGCAATCCCACTAAAAAATCTAATATTAGAAAATACCTGGCCTTCCTTTAAATTCCCATCTTCCCTGTGACACAAGTGCACTCGTGATAGTGTGGCGTATTGGGTAACATGTTGAGATTATGATCTGCATTATCACGGTTCGAGTCCAAACGGAGGTGCTGATGAGACCAAAGGGGGTCGAAACTGAAGTCCACTTCAGCCTGGATGAGAATACCTTTTAGAAAGCAAGTCTACGTGAAATTAACTGGAAATATGAGGCTCACTTTTGGCAATGGGTTAAAATTCAACTACAAATCTCTCATCTCCTTAAACGAATTAGAGTGAATACATCTCATGTATATAATCTACTGGCAATC